ATACAGGTCAGGTATATCATAATCCAAATTTTCAGACGTGTCCATTAATTTTGGCTGCCCAACATGAGATACGTAGGCCCTGATTTTCAGAGGTGCTGAGAAGGTGCAGTGCAATGTAAGGTAATGGGTACAGGACAAGTGTTCATCTTTAGAAATCAGGTCCATGGAATGTCAAGTTGGGTACTCTGAACCCAAAATCAGAAGGCACTCCTGAAAATGTGGATGACCGGGTCCAATCATCTGACTTCCTGAAGGTAGGTTTTTCTAGAATATTTCTAAAAAAAAGCACCTAACTGGTTTTTGAAAATGGGACTTAAATCCCTTTTTAAAATTTTACCCCTCGCCCGTAGAGAGTTCTGCTTTCCCACTGCAGTGAATGGTCTTTACTTGCTTATGGCACCATTTCTTGTTTTAACCTTCCCATTTTATGGCATTCACTAGAGTAAATATTGCAAATATAAATATTGCTAAGTAAAATAAACAAGTTCAACTTTGAAGAGATGCTCAGGTGCAGAAAGAGGTACAAAGTTTTCATGGGCACGCTCTTCTCGGCATTTGCATCACATGCGGTACCCCAGGTGGGGTGCATTTGAGTGGGAGACACTCACCTTCAAAATGAGCCTTTGTTCTCTCTTGGAGCACTCTGAAATTGTTGCATACACCCTCTACCTGGCTTTTAGGTAAGACTATAATTATCTCAGTAATATATGGCTGATTCTCCACTGCCTACACCTCACATAACCAGGTATACTTGTGCAAAGTGGGCATCAAATGCTACCAGATCAGAATGGTGACATTTTACAATCACTTAAAGGTGTAAGGCAATGGAGTGTCATACTGATGTGTGTGTGTGTGGACAGTATCTAGCACAGCAGAGTTCAATCCCCCAATGAGGCTTCTACAGCCTATCCCAGTACAAAGAATCCATAAAAATAAACAAACACAGCCCGAGTGCATTTGTACGGCTATTACGTTGTTTGCTGTGGAGACAGTCACAAAGTTTAATTAATCCATTCAGCGGTCATAGTAACTTTTACTAGACAATAGGGTGATTGAACAGGTGAAGGGGCTGAATGGCAGAAGCCAACAAAATAGCAAGGGCTTGTACTTGGGCCAAAGCAAAGGTAGCTACAATAGCACTCAGCACACCGTTGACACGCAGAAGCAGGGCTTGTCACATGAACCTCTTGCTTACAAAAGAGCAGTGAAAACCCTCTTTTCCCCTCTCCCCCATACAGTTTTTAGCTAGGCTTTTTGAATTTATTATGAAGACACTTTTTATTTTAAATATATAAACATTCCCCTTCCTAACATCCCTGTATGTAGAGTGGGTATCCAGCTAATCATGGGGGTTTGTAAGTACCGGAATCTCTTGGAATGAGAAAGCGAAGGTTACAAAAGTCTGGTTAGAACTCATGCTACCTCACGTAGGATCTCAGAATTAAACTAAGTCTCCATAGAGCTGAAAACGGGGAGAGAAGGATGGGTGGTGAAGGGGAACCTCCTGTTGATGACATGGGAGTTCACATTTGCGATTTACATTGTAGTAGAAGCAATATCAGCACAATGGCTGTGCAGTCAGAGGTTTATACAATATTATAGGTGCTCTGGGCTAGATGGACTATCACAAAGTTTTCCAGAGATGCCCTTCCACCTGTGGATACTATTTTGTTCCTGCAATATGACATTGACTTTGATTCCTAAGCAGTTTTTCAAACAGAAAAAGGTAATGGTGTATGAGAGAGAGGGAACAGCACAGATTGAGAGTTGGCCGCTCTCTCTGGATCTGTCCCCTATTGAACTCATCGGGGAAGAGATGGAGATAGAAGCAACAGATCCCAACATTGCTGAGCTCTTATGGCCATACCTCCAGGAAAAGTCCAAGGAAATATCAGTGGACTTTCTTGAGCAACAGATCAATACAGTGCTTCATATCAGCCAAGCTG